CTGTTCTTATCTCAACCCACGAGTTTTTCTGACTTTCACCCTTCCAATTCTCTCCCCCACCCCACTGGGGGGGAAGTGAGTGAGTGGCTGGGTGGTGCGTAGTTGCTGGCTGGGGTTAAACCACGACACCTTCCAACTCTGCATTAGATCTGCGAGTAAAACCATCCAATATAACTGACCAACAGGTCTTGTCAGAGGACTGACAAAGGGACCTACCGTTAGTGTCGCCTCTGCCATGTATCACATCATATCTAGAATTTCTCTGGCAATGACCCCAGAGCCAAGTGAACCTCCCCAGCTTTTCCTCTGTCCCCACCCAGGGCCTCATTTTCTCCTCAGTCTACCTTCCCTCTCTGTGCTTGCTTTGTAAGGGAAAGAAGAGAAGCTGTACTGACTTTAGCTTGGAGGCTGCAGCTTCTCTGCCTGGACAGCCCTCTTTGCCCAGCTGTGGAGAAGGTACCAGTCGCTGCTGTTTGCTCACCCAGGAATACGACAGGAAAAGCCCGTACAGCAAGCAGCCGCAGCAATGCTTCCACAAAGCCGCTCGCATTAGCTGTTTCCAGCACTCGGTGTCAGCCAAGCACTGCTAGCTCTGCCCCTCTGCTGTCAGGTCAGCCAAGAGACAAGGAAACAAAAATAAGCTCTTTCTAGCACCACCTTCCTCACCCAGAAAGACACGCTTACTCCTCTCCTATCCACACAAGTGCCTCTGTTTCTGGCTTGTGCCTAATGGCTTTCTTCTCGCTGGAGTCCTGCTGCCACCGGTTTTCTCGGCAGCAAAAATTCTGCCACAGCCTCAGGGAGCAGCAGAGCGGGGCTGCCCGATGGGAGGATGAGCTGGGGGTGGCCAGAGCCGAGGCGGTGGCCTTCACTAGCTGGGCGGGGTCCCGCAGCACCTGAGCAGGGCGGGCAGAGCAGGCGCTAGTGCTTGGACCCAGTGACACGCCCAGACGAGGCGAGGTGATGAACCAGGTACGAGGTCCACCCAGGGAGTCCAAGCAGGAGCCTTGAGCGGGAGATGGTGCCAGGAATAGAACTGGAAACACAGGTCCAAGGTCCACCCAGGAGATGGGGCTGGGGAGAGGAACACCTCAACATAGCTGGGCAGGGACCGAAGGGCCCGGGGCTGAGTTGAAATGGAGCTCCTGCCCCACAGGCAGGGTGTGTAGCTGGTGGCCCCAGTGTAGGTGAGTCAAGGTCGTCAAGGCCTTAGCGCACTTGGGCTCTGTTTCTCCTGTGGATCTGAAGTGGCATGCCTGGGGCAAAGTCCTTCCTGACTTGACACCAGTGTCTCTGCCTCCTGCCCCGCTCCTGGTTCTGGAGCGAGCCTCGGCAGCGGAGGAGGCACAGCGTGGCCTTGCACACGGTGGGGCTACAGCAGAGCTCAGCAGTGCCGCTAGACCCTGGGAGAAGGAACACTTGGTCTTGATGTGCAGGGAGGAAATGTCTGGGGAGAAAGCACGAGTAGATTGCATAAGGGTGATGCCTAACTGAGGAGATGCTGGCAGATCCCACCAAAGATGGGGAGAGCTGGTGGAAGTGTAGGTGAGCCACTGAGGCCCTCAGTCAGCAAGCTGACTTAAAAGAGAGCTTTCAGCAGCTCTGTCAGGATCACATTAGTATCCCCAGCAGAAGGGACTTTTAAAGGACTGGGTGGAAAGCGGTTTCCTCATCCTGTAAGAATTTCAGACTTGGAGACGGGCAGGGGGAATTGTCTCAAGTGAAGATAACAAATAAATACCACCCCCAAACTGAAAAACAGTACTTTTATGTTCCAGTCATTGAAAAGACGTCTAAGCTGTTTCAAACCCTTTTTCTAAACTTTTTTTTTCGGAAGAAAAGCTACATCAGATCCGTCTCCTTCTTGCGAGTGGCTTTTGCTTTGACAAATTGGCATGTTTCCCGACGGCTGAGCGTTTCCGCGGCAGACGTCCCACCCGCGTTAACCGTTAACCCCGGACACCCGCGCTACGCCGTGCCCGTCCCTCACAGCAGCGAGGGCTTTGCTCGCTTTCCTCCCGCAGGACGTGTGCCGTGGCTGGGGCATCCCCGGGAGATGCCGACGGAAAACCCCTCGTCCCGGGCGAAGCCCCCCGGCAGCGCGCCTCCTCTCCCGCACCGCCGCCGCGGGGCGAGTTTTCGGGGGGAAGCAGCCCGGGTTCCCCACGGACACCCCAGCGGGGCAGCAGCGGGGCTGCGGCGGGAA